TCCAGTTAACTGCAACACTTAAATTCTTTAGCTGCCCCACTAAATGGACTTTCTTAATTATTTGAACCAATTAGTTATGTGACTGGATTTTTTTACCAATACAGGAAAATAATAAATTAATTCAGTTGAATTGCTGATGATCATTTCTGATTAGATTTCCTAATAGCATATATTGGTGACTTCCAAAATTTAATTTAAAATGAATTAAATATTAAGTTAACCTTTTCAGCAACCTTTTTCAGTCCTTTTTTCGACATTCACAAATTAATTTTTCCTAAAATAAAATTAAATCTCGGATTTAGATTTTGATAGATATTTTAAAAAGTTATGGCCATCAAACACGTTTCTTCGCGAGTATTGGGAGTTGATTAATTGTACCGACGAACACACTAATTTTGAAAAATGTTTCGACAAGCATGGTATTACTTTCAAACAAGAAGCTTACGTACCATTTGTTATCGATGCAGTAAACGTTGTTGCTAGAGCGCTTCATCAATATATACAGGTATGACATAACTCCAAATGATGCTTGATTTGAGCACAATAAGCCAGAACGAGAAAACAATATAATTGGAGATTTTTTTACTTTACTAAATTTCTTGATTAAAGAGGATAAATTTTGATAAGAGCCTTCTCTTACTAATGGTTTTTAACTAATTGGTTTCCAAGTACCTGAAAACAATTCAATTCAAGAATTGAACTCGAAAGTTTGGAAAATCGCATTTAATAGGCAGTTTATTCGTATTTTGTTTTTATGCAAATATGAAAGAATTGATACCGTATAGATATTATAGACAACCTGTTCATCATTGAACTTCCGTAACTGTAATGTTTCCAAAATCGACTTCGATGGCGCACGATTGCAAAGTTACTACAGGAACGTTTCAATTGCTCGTAAGATTTAATATTATAGTAAAGAAAAAGAAAAGACAGTTATCAGAAAGGATTTGTCACGACAGTAAATTGCTGTACATTTCATTTTTTTGTCTTCAAAAAAAGTGTTTATTTACATTTCGTTGTGAAGATTTCGATGATTACGATTAGTACAGCTGGTGTTCCACCGCATATCGATGCAAACGGTGATGGAATTGGGAATTATAATATTTATCAATTAAATGATGTGGGACACTATCAAAATGTTGGCAAATGGACTGCTGGGAAGAAACTCGATCTAAATGTCCGTCGTGTCAGGTTGCCATTACTTAATAGTAATCTAATTATAACTGCATCTCTTCTTAAAAAGGTTAGGAAATTTTCAAAATTCGAGGTTTCAAAGCCCTATTAATCTGAAAATTCTCGTCATCTTTCAGAAAAGGTCTGAAAAGATGGGATGGTTTACTGCCGTTATCAGTATGCAGTACAGACTGTCCACGAGGATATTATCGTGCTTATCAGGACCAGAACTGTTGTTGGACTTGCATACCATGCGATGTGTCGACATCTGTTATCATCAATGAAACAAGGTAAACAAAAATGCTTTAAGAATTCGAGTGTTATTTCTTTTAAACAGCAAAATGTTTTTATAGATAATGGATGAAAATAATAATGAAATTTAAAAGATTGAAAGCCTCCGAACGTCAAGACTTTTGTTCATTTTTATTTGAACTATTTAAAGGTAAATTTGCGATCAATTTATAGCTGTGTCCAGTGTCCATTAGGTTACGCACCTAATGAAGACTTGGTTGCATGCAATCTAATATCGCCGACAACATTGGAATATAATAGCCCATGGGTAGTCTTACCGGCTATATGTTCTACACTTGGTATAGCGGCAACACTTTTCGTTATTGCAGTAATTTTTTCTCTTCTGCTTTTGAAAATTTAAATTCAAAATATAAGAGTATTAATTTCCAGCATTTAAGCCGAAAGCAACTGAAATCCTTTTGATTGATCATAATTCTTCGTAAAAATGATTTGTGACTCGTTCATTATTTTAACTTTCAGAATTAGTCACTTCTCTGTAATACTAACTTTGGCTCATTATAACTATATTAAATTTGACGCGGATTGATTTAATTGAATTTAATTAATATTGATTTTTCCAACAGGTATTTGTTCGATATAGTAATACACCTGTTATAATGGCATCTGGCCGTGAACTATGCTACTTTATGTTGGGTGGAATTTTATTATGCTATTTAGTAACTTTCGTCCTTGTATCTAAGCCGAATGTGGCAATATGTGCAGCATCACGGATCCTTATTGGCTTATCAATGTCTGCTATTTATGCTGCCATTTTAACCAAAACAAATCTTCTGGCCAGAATATTTTTGATGCAAAGTGTAGGACGCCTTGACTGCATTGTTCCCAGTGCACAGGTTTTATCTTCTTGGATTTATTACTTTCGTTTATGACAGTGCTTTGACGTGAAAAGAATGAAAACAAAAAGTTTGAAAATCAACTGGCAAATTTGTCATGCAAAATTACTTATTGTTTTTAGCGCAAATTTAAGGTTTTTACAAACATGCTTCAACTTTATATAATTTATTTAATTTCAAAGTCAAAAAGACATAAGAATAAGTACATGTTATTTCAGATAGCAATATGTTTTGGCATTGTATCGATACAGTTAATCGGTTCTTTAGTGTGGTTGGTTATTGACCCACCGGGTACAGATGTCTTATTTCCATCACGGAAGGAAACGATTTTAACCTGTAAAGCCAGAGCTTCTCATTTGTTGATCTCATTACTATACAATATGTTTTTGATCATCGCTTGTACATTGTATGCCTTCAAAACACGGAAAATTCCAGAAAATTTTAACGAAACACGATTAATTGGCTTCACAATGTACAGTACAAGCATTCTGTGGCTTTCTTTTGGTTAGTTTCTATATTTTTTATCACACTCGCTAGAAATTCACACTGAAATGCCTTCACGTGTTACAGATGCTTTCGTGTAATTTCAAATACGACATTATGAGTGATTACATGTTGCAGTTTTTATAAATTTAAGCAGAACTTGAATTCTTTCTTTCCAGGACCAATTTACTTTGCGACGCAGAATAATTTCAAGGTAACAGATTATTTAATTACTGATTTTAAATTAACCTGTGCTGCATCTTGCATGGTTTTTAGACGATACATGTTTGACTTGTCACGTTGCATGTTTATATTTTCTTTGTCCTCAAAATCAGACAGATCTGCTTGGTTCAGAGAAACTAATCTCTTAGTTGAGTTTTTGAAAATTGATCACCACAAGACATATTTTTGCTTCTATAAGCATAACTTATCGTTAAACAAGCTTGCATATGCACTTCATTTACATATTGCAAGTTTGAAATGGCACACCAAATTGGATTTTATAATGAGAATATTTTGAATTACCAATCATTCGTCTACAAAATTTGCTAGCGCAAGGTCGTTATTCTAATTGAGAGTATGTTTCAATCGACAAGCTCAAGCATTTGCAAAAATCCACCGGGTCGTGAGGTGAAATTTTCTTGGAAAGGCGATTCGTCGTGCCAGGCCGTCTTGTGTGTCACACCATCTGAAACATTGGCGTTGGTTTTATCCCATGATGTTGTCGTCGAAATAACTCTGCACAAACATATCCGTATTTGTCATATCGGTGGAGTTGCGGCGACTATTTGTAACGGTGGACGAGTCGCTGCTGTGCATCATCCATCTATTGAAATTCTCCAGCAAGAGACACAGGTAAGTCAGAAATTCTTGGGGTCGAAATTTTTGCAAAGACCTCACCAAAAAATGCAAAAAAGAAAAAACACAAGCGACGTTGTTATTCAGCTTCAGGTGTTGTTCAATATGGTGCAAGGCCCACGGGTTCGAGCTACCAGTGACACCGTCCATGTACTTGGCGTGGAGGGAACTGACCCATCGACGCAAGTGTATTCTATAACGAAGCACGAAGTGGTAGCCCATGAAAATTTGTGTGTGGCAACAGATAAATTTTGTTTACGTCGAGATATCGATGGAACGGTTGCGTTATTTCTGGACGATGTGGGTAGTGGTGATGTGCCTGGCGTCTACGATGATAGACATGAACGATGCATGCTAGCAGCCCGTCAGGCAGTTGTAGATCAAAAGGATGATCAGCTGACTGCGATCGTCCAAGGGGTTAAGGTGAAACATAATATGGACAGTGGTGATACGAGAATTTATTGTGGGCGCAATTTTATCTCACTATGTGTAGCCACGCATGCATTGACGTTACATTCCCCGTGGGTTGACATTAATGTTGATCGCTGTTCATGCACGCGTTTACGTCGAGGTGAACAAATTATTGAAACGGATAAAAATCGCTTGCAAATCAGTCAAAACAATATGCATGCGGATTTCCCAATTCTTGAATCCGCTGACGATTCCTCGTCGTTAAATGAACCGAAAAACGGCGATATCTAAGTCTGTTACTTCCTGCAGTTTTCTAATTTATTTTATTGCTAGGAATACTATCCATTAAAAGTCCACACAACTGCTCATTTTTGTTCCCAATGAACCAAAGGGAGATTTGAAGTCGCATACCTGTGTGTAACCACATCATTTATGTACTGCATGTCTCTGAAAACTGCACAGTAAATATGCACGTCTTTAAATTGTACTATAGATGGAAAGGACAAGTTAAATGTGATAAATTCGTTTGTGGTTGATGAGTTCATCCATGAAGACGATTCTCCAAATTTTAAAATTCACTTTTTTATACATGCGTTGACTGATGTTACTGCTGTTTTCCGTACTTTTTTTTTATCAATATTAAAGTTTTTATGATTGACAGAGTTTCCATAATACTGTGATAAGTACCGCTAAGATGAATAAATAATGTATAATATAGAAGAAACATCGTACAGGAGATCGGAAATCATCAGATTTCTCAGCAAAACACATTCCTATTTTAAAAAAGAAATAGGACCGAAGTATTTGGAGTGCTTGAAGAAAAATTGAAGATAAAGTTTCAGAAGCAAATTTATAGGCAGAAATTAAGGAAATGGGATGAATAAATTTTAAAGCAAGTGAAGATCCTTATGTTGCTTATTTGCCATCAGCGTACTAAGCAATGGCAGAATTACTCATCATATTTGGTAGGGATCGTTTTGCTCTTTAGATTTGCTAATTTACACAGTGTACTCTTACAGATACAGATAACAAGTTTGTGCATGTGCATTTCGATGAGCGGTACTGTAGCACTATGTTGCTTTTTTGTGCCAAAAGTATATATTGCCGTATGTCAACCATACAAAAATGTTCGTATGCGACAAAGTGCTGTTGGTCGTTTGGTCAATCAACAAATGAGGTTTATCAGGTATTTCAAATCCATGTAAACAAGTTTTCTCCTTGACAAAATTTACATCTAATTTTCAATAAGATTTCAAATTTCATCATGCTTGGTTCTTGAACGGTTGTATTCTCTTATATATCTTCCCAAATTTCAGTCAAATAGCCACCACAACAGCACCAAATAATAGCACTCTTTCTACATCTGTGATTGATTGCTCGTCCTACCCGCACTTTGCATCCTGTAACATTGTTGAGGGTAAATTTCTCTTATTTATTTTTCCCTCTTATATGTTTCCATTTATTTATTTTAATGATTGTCTAAGCAAAGATAAATTCCAAAAAATTTCATCAGTTTATTTCTCACTTATCTTTTCCTTGTAGATTCTCCGCGTGTCACACTTTGCCATAAATTTCTTTTATTTTTCCAAAGCCAATTCATATATTTTCTATTATCATAAAATATTTCTTCTTTTATTTATTGAATATTCTGTCGGATCCGTTATTCAGCAATTCCAAACCTTTTTTAAAATAAATTCCTGCCTTAGCAATATGCAATTTTGCTGTATGCCAATGCACAAAATGATTTCATTAATTTCAACTGACATTTTAATTTTAAACAAGAAAAGCAAATTTCCGAAAGTTTCAAATGAAAGATTAATAATTAATACTATGGGCTTCAGCGGAAAAGAATTCTATAATTTCGAGTCAGACTACTAAACAGTACGGGACCGCCTCTCTGGCAGTAATTAAGAAGTCTTCTGACAAATGCAGCGTAAACAGTGATAAAAATGATAACACCTGTAGAATCAATAACGCCGGCAGTCACGAAAATTCACCGCTCATGAAAACAACACTATTTCTTCATCAGTCCTCCGACGATGAACTCGCGAAAGAAACTATTATGTACCAAAATAATGCTGAATTATTTTTTGAACAGCTTTTTGTCAATTACGATGTTACCTTCCTCTAATTTAGTTTTCTCACTGAATGAATTTAGCAATTTAGCCTTTTGAATGAATTTAGCAAAAATTTAGTAAGACTGATTTAAATCTCCTCGTATATCCCTTTCAATTTTTGGATGGTTTAAATTTATCTTTATTTAATTTCTATTTTGATCATTTTTTAAAATATTTCAGTCTAGTTAATTATTAAAGAATCATTTCAATTATAATTCAGCCGTTTTTGTATTTTTTTTTAATTAGAAATTTTGAAAGAAACTCTACAAGTCCTAAATAGTTTTCAACTGCAAAGTCCTTAGAGTAGTTTTTTAGTGCAATGACGGGTAATTTTATCTTCCTTGACGCAAAATTTCAAATTAGAATTAAATTATCGGATTAAGGATGTATTTTTTATTAATAATTTCTTACTAACAGTTTGTATGTGCTTGAGAAATTTAAATAATAAAGTTTTTGATATTTTCACTCTTTTGAGTGGAATTTATTGCAACTTGCTCCTATGATCCACGTTCTTCCCACAATCGACCAGATTATAATTTCAAAAAATTTTTGAAGAAATTTAAATACCGGCACTGAGGGTGACCAAATCAGTGCTGGAGGCTCATGTATACAATTTACGAACTTATTTTTTATATTGCAAAATCTTCATGAATTGTTTAAAGTAATAGTTATTCAATGTTCGAAATAAATTAAAAAGTTTAATCTCACGATCTCTTCTATTGACTTGTATAACTACAAATGCAATGTGTGGTATCGATTAAATAAAATTCAATTACTTTTTTAATTGTCCGTAAACCACTTTTATTTCACTTCTCATTTAATAATTGTTAAATTGATTTAACTGTATCGATTTAATTGTTAATTGAAAACAAATACCAACGAGAAGTAAAATTACTGTTTACAATATTGTATTGAAGTGAAATGAATCAAAAATTCAGCTTTCAGTAAAATCAGCAATAGATTAAATCTGAAATTGATGGCCTCATCTTTCATTTCTTTTTACAATTTCGAATGCAAATTCCAGAAAAACCAATTGCAAAACTTTGTCACACAGTTTACAAATATTTTAATCTAAAGTGATATGAATTTTGATGTAGCAAACAGGGATTTAAAAAAAAATTACAATCAATAAGATAGCGCAGAGCGAATACAATGATTATTGATTTCACCAAACAACTGTTACCATCAGATTCTCGAAATATGGTACTTTGTTGCGAATTCTAAAGGGTTTCCAAGTTATTTCACATTACATTTATTCCACATAATTTCACTGTTAACTATATGTATTTATGAATCTTGCAGCTCGGACTGATTAGGACAGCGTCTCGGTTTCTAACTTGAATAAAATTTCACTGATATGTCCTGTTGATATCTTTAGGAATGCACTGTAATGAGGGATTAGATAATGCCGAAATAAGACCCAATTTGAATCAATATGCTGCATGAAACAGTTCCGTATGAATGAAAATTTATTAAATTCTATGGTACTTCACAAATGAAAGGAGCACGATGTGTAAGTTATTATATATATATATATTCTGAGTATAATTGTAGGGAGTTTGGTCACTTGCTATAGTAATTTTAAAAATTTGCCAAACTTCGTTAGTTTCCTTTAAAATTTTATTGCAGTTCTATTCGCTGAGTGGGAAACATTTTCAATGTCGACCAGAAATTCATAAATTTTAATTGATAATTAAAATGGAGATATCTTTTCCTAATATGATGACAATCAGTGAAATCAACCAATTTCATGACTAGAACTATCCAGCAATATCAAGCCTTGAAATTGCAACAGCCCTTGAATATATTTACAGATCAGCATTTTCAAGCAATCTATTGTTATATTCAAACAAAAAGATGAGATACTACTGGAGGATTGGATAAATGTCACAAAAAAAAACTTCATGATCACAACATCAAAAAACATCAAGCAAGTAGATTTAATGAACAAATTCACAACATATTAAAAGGATACTAAAAGGATATCAAATTTTGATTAATTAATATCTTTTTTGCTAAAACAAAAGTAAAACAATAATTACGAGAACGATAATAATAATAACAGCAATAATAATATGGTTGATGGAAAAAATATGAAAATGATAAGAGGGATATCAGTGATTTGCAAATAATATGAACAATCAATTCATGGCACATTCAGCAATAATAAATATATCAGATGAAGGAAAAGTGGATTGAGCATTATTTCTGAACAGATAACACTGCTTTTGACGGTTTATTTGGTATAATTAAATCTTGGTCAAATGCAAATTTCCTCCACGAATTACAAAAAATCACTGTGATTATGTATTACAGGAAAAAAGCGACCATTTATATGTAATTCTTATAACTTACATTAAAAAATTCATTAATTTTAAAAAGAGATTTAAATAAAATCATTTCAATTAATGGATCTTAATTGAAATGATTTTACTCAAATCTCACTTTCGAATTCCTATTAATTCATAAACTTGTAGTGATAAGTTCTTCGTCTGATAGCAATAAGACGGAAAGAAAGGCGATAGTGCATTTATTATTGAAACAGTACATGTAAAATGTGATGGAAACAGTGGTGAGAGTGGTAGATGAAAGAGGAGATAACAGAAGAGAAAGTCTCTTTATCAGATCATAAATCTTGAAATGTCAGTTAAAATTTGACCAAAAGCAAATTTTAATATCAGTTAATTAAGTTTGGTACACTTCAATTATGATAAAGAAGGTAAAGAACAATTTAGGCTAGTTGGATATTAGTTAACATTAATCATGTTGCTTTCAGAAGAAGATTTCAACGGCAACAACCTTGCATTATTTCCAGTGGAAGGTTGAGTGACCAATGATACAGATCTGATAATATATGTCGTACTCGGTGTTGCATTTAGATATTTTTGGGACTGAAAAATTGGCTAAAATTTGAATATGGAAAGAAAAAACCAGCTAAAAAATTTCGAGATTCTTTCGATATATACCTCTGAAATGTATACATACATATAATTGCTGCTGCTTATTGATGTTTAATGATTTTAAAAAAAATGAATCGTTTGAAGTATTGATTGGGAAGTGAAAAGCACCGTAGATATATCCATCTCTAAATTCATAATTTTGAATTTTCGAATAAGATAAATCAATGGTACTGGAGCAATAGCAAATAAAACCATTGAACCGGCAATAACCAAAACCCATTCAGGATATGTTTGCGCATTTTGGTGTGTCTGAAAGTGAGAAATATTGTCAACTGAGAAAGCAAATTTAATGACTGATTTGCAATAGCAATAAGCTTAAAACTAAAAATAATTAAAAATCAAAAAAAACTAATAAAATAAACGTTAAACTTGCTGTCTGAGAATTGTAAACAAAATATTTCGGTAAATCAATGAAAGATTTAACAATGGAGGCAAAAAAGAGGACAAGCATGAGGACTGGTGATATGAAGCGCCATGTGACTGTCCAATAACAGGAAATTCTTTCACCAGTCATATCCACTAAATCTCGAGTAAAACTGGAATGATACTGTTAATCGATTTTAAATTAGAAATCAATTTGTATTCGATCTCTCCCTCCCCCCTCATTAGCCAAACTCATTTCAGTGCAAGTGAAACTTCTTAAAATGCTGATTTAAGGATTTAATTTAAAAGAAGAAGCTAACTTTTGCCATCCGTAAACATATATCACAGCCAAAACTTCGAAAAAAGCTACACCCATAAGGGCGTAAGAGCCGGCAAAATGATCAAACAACATAACCCAATACTGAAATTTGAAAGAGAATGAAAAATCAGATATCCTGAATTATTGATTGTGTTAGTTATTTGGTACTTATGCTCTTCATAGGAGCATAAATGAATAAACAATGAAATGATTAATTAGGCTGGCAAATACTACTAAGCAATTTGGCCAAGTATTTAGAAAGTCGTACCTGACCGGAATGTGTTGTGAAAACAAGACCAATACCACAAGCAATAGAACATAAAATAGCCGTAAAAACGGGCTTTTTTAAATTAATAAGTTTGCTATCATTTAGTGATGTTATCACACCTTCCAAGGTGCCGAATATTGAACCCATACCAAGCATTAAAAGCATCAGGAAAAACATTACTGCCCAAAATGGTGGAAATGGAAATTGATTTATTGCTTCTGTGAATACAACAAACGCTAAACCCGTCCCCTCAGCTGCCTGAAATTTCGCATATTAACATGCATCGAGAAACTGACAAAAGCATATGAAAAGAATATACAAGACAGTAAAGGCAGGAAAATAGGACGATGATCACCTGTGAAATGATCTCTTTATAATTACAATGACCTGTCACGTTGGCCAGAAGGGGAAATTCGGTATTTTTGAAGTCGCGATACATCCACATTGTATATTGTTCCGTCGATATATTGCCTTGGATTTCATCAAAGTTTCGAAATTTATTTGGATATATAACAAGAATATTGGCTATATCTCTGAAATGCAAATATCATATAAGTTTTGGAAATATTCCTTATCCTCTCTCTGCATGTTTATGCTATTTACATTACTTAAAAACAATTGAGAGGTCAAAATTCTTCTAGCCTTTCTAAATGTTATCTTTAAAATTTCACTTTTTATTAAGAAGCTGAGATTTTAATTACCGTTTTATACAACTGTTGTAATTTTGTACACCCATGTAGCCAAGAACACAAAAAATAACAACAGCCATATAAAGTGAGGTGATCAGATTGCAGAGAGAAAGCCAAAGAACATCTTTTTTACAATTGTTCTTTTCCGGATTGTAAGATCCAAATGCTATGAGTCCTGAAATTCACTTCCAAATGATTTCCTTCCTAGCAAGCGTTATTTTTGACTGAAAGTTTAGAATGAAAATGTTCAAAATTTGCATGAATTTCATAAAACTCCATGCTTCTTTCATAAACGCTGTTTTGTTTTCCTTGCGGATTATCTTTTGTGTCACAGAAAATTTTACCACCAAAACCTAATCCCATACTGTAAAATATTTGTGTTGCAGCTTCCATCCAAACGTTTGGATCCCATAAACGCTTCAGCTGAAATAATTTTGGAAAAATAATTCTTGAATTTTCTTACGCTACAAAATTAAATTAATTTTGACGTGCTCAGAGTATTGAAGTTTATTAGGTAGTGTTTGTTCTCACAGAAAAATTTCTGAATAGTCCGCAAAACTAATTAGACTTATTTATTTAGTAACATCTGTTTATTTAAAAACTTCACGTCACAGTTTAGTTTGTTAATTATTTGCTTTGGAAGAAATGAGACTTACATCAGGATTCATCATGTATTTCAAACCCTCGGCTGCGCCATCCAGCATCAGTGATCTAATCAAGAATATGGTGGTAACTGCGTACGGAAAAGTAGCCGTAAGATACATAACCTGTAGATATGATAATTTCCGAGTGATCTTTGCAAGGGTTTATTCTGAATTACAAATATCTGTAGCTTAGAAGCTAAAATTGCAAATAATGAAATTTGACATGCCTTTCCACTACTTTTGATGCCATGCATAACGCAGAGGTAGATTAGTATCCAGGCAAGAATCAGTGAAATTGTCATGTGAGGAACAAAGCCACCAAAATCACCTATTGACCTGATATAAACTGATGTATATATAATCATCTGTTGACCTGATATGAGCAAAAATAGCAGTTGTATTTTATAATCTCATTATTTGATCCCATATTATTCATATAAATAAACAATACAAGACTGCTCATTTCAAATATTCTATTTAATAACGATCGGAATTGCAGAATTGTTTTCCAAAATTTAACTGAGGCATTAAAATAAGAAGCTAGAAAAGCCGTATTCTTTTTCTGTTTAAAAGTTCATAAATCATGAGATTACAGCAAAGACTTACTCGCTTGTGTCAATTGCTTTACGGTTCCAGAAATAACTTGTTGTGGAACTGGACATCTGGCATTCTTCCACCACAGAACCATTTATTTCCGGACAACTCTGCAATATCATTCATATCATCGTGGATTATTTATCATTCATATCATCGTGGATTATTTGTTAACATTATTAAGAAAGGTGAAAATTCAGAGAACAGAAACATACGCTCCAAGGTAAATTGATATCGAATGATCTGTACAAATAATATATACACCACGTAATGATAACGTTATAATAAAGGACGACAAGAAACGAAACAATGGCTGCCGACACTCCAACACCTTAAATTCTTTATAAAAGCAAAGCATACTAAGGAGTATCAAATTTTATTCTTGAAAAACCTTCAAATTTTAAACATCAAAATCCGTCAAAAAATCATGAATGACTTCAATTTAATACTGCTAATCATGACAGCATCATTCTTTTACCTCCAAAATATGGATGAATTTCGTTCCAAACACCAACAGATCCCAATCGCAATTTTTGCCCAATGCCAAGTTCAACAAGAAACAATGGTGTGCCTTCCAGAAACATCATTATGCAATAAGGTATTAAAAATGCACCTGAAATCGATTTGGAATATTTTATTTTTGTGATTTTCACATTTTGATTTAAATTACTCTCAATTGAGTCAATAGCGACTTTTCATTCAATACGTCTTTTTTATACGTAATATATAATAGCATAATTAAACTGTCGTAACTAACCTCCGCCATTTTTCTGACATAGGTAGGGAAATCGCCACACATTTCCAAGACCAACAGAATAAGAAATAACACCCATAAGAAACTGCATTTTATTGTCCCATCCTTCGCGACTGTCTCCCTTGCTAGTGCTGCTGCTGTCGTTGATTGCCACTTGATGATACTCTTTTTCCTCCGTTACTCCATCTGCTTCATTTGATCTCACATTTCTTCTATGAAAATTGAAATTATTATGGAGGAATATTCTATTCTTATTAGTTTCTCTCATCAATCCTGAATTCATTTCCGAATTCAAATTTTGAACCTTTTTGATTGATCTTGTAAAAATTTAGATACTTTTAAAAAGATTTGTTTGAATATCCAACAGCATAACCAACAGTCTTTTATTACTAATTTTCCGCCAATTCCTTAAAACATATTTAACCAATTATTAATTTGAACCTCTCAAACTGCCAAATTTGTTTGTACTTTATAAATTATGTTCTGAATTAAATTCATTACAGCTTAGTATAACTATTCGATTGTGAACTTGTTTATTTACCTTCGTTCAAATGGCATTTCGGATTTGAGCATTACTTGAGTTTATTTTAATTTGTAATAACTTTCAAGTTAAAACTGCAGGAAATCTACTCATAAATTTGATTCCTTCAAAGATTCTGAATTCTTCTTCCTTTAAAAATCTCTACAATTACCTGTATTCAAATTCTACAGATCCAGAATTGGATGTAACTTTCGAACTCAATTTGGATTCAATAGAAACGTTGGATGTTTTTTGTTTTTTTTTTATGTCCACCAATACCTGCGACAAGTCGTTTTCTGTATAATTCATCGGCAAGTACATCAACACTTCAAGCTGCGATTTACTTCTGAAAGTTTCGCTTCTTTGCAAATTTAAAAATCAGATCATTCAGATCGTTATCAGCTGTAATGTAGCAATTTTCCTTTATTTCATTTTTACAAAAGTTGCTTTTGCATAAATGCATTAATGGAAGGAAATCATCTGAGAGAGATTGAAATATTGGTTTCAAACTACAGACACATGGAAATTTTTCATGAATGATAGTACCAAAATATCAGTGAGCAAAATATCAGTGTCATCGATGCGAATCAAACAAATGACCTTTGCAAACCAAAAGAGCTAGAGAAGTGATGAAATAAAAGGAATAAAGTGGAAATTATGAAATTAAAATAAGCTTAAGTAGAATATTGGGGAATCTTTCGTATTAATAATACGTGACCGATGAAAGATTGATAGACCTGTCATACAAATGGTACTGAACTCCGACCTTCTCTACAGATGTAATCTTCTCGGTGATTTTATTGTACTATTGAAATGGAAAGTTTTGACAAGGAGAATTTTTCATTTCTTTTACTAAAGGAAGAATTTAATGAAATTCCTGCGACAAATGAGCAATGACTTCTCTGTTAGTCAAACCTTCATTTATGAGCACTTTTACTTCAACGCATTTATTTTCATAATTTTATAATTTAGTACAGAGTGAGATATTGAAAGAAATTTAAGAAAACGAAAGGATCTTTTTTTGCAAATTATGAAATTTTCTTCTTTTTTCTATGAGAGAATATGCCTAGAGCTGTTCTAAAGAGATTTTTCTATTTTTATTATTCAAACCTAAGCTGAATGTTTTATGACTTCACGAATATCCCTCCTCATTTCTTGTTTTCCTTACATAACTAAGCTTTTCCATCATGCTGCTTACATCCTTCCCTTTTCCACAAATGATAAAAGCTAAAAGAATAAACGGGATGCAAGCAAATAATTGATGAATAGCTAGCTATATAGATTCAAAAAAGGAAGACCTTAGCAAAAATCTAAATGTAAATCTACTAAAACGATTCTAAGATAAATTTAAACTCATTAATCCCACCAAAAAAAGGACTTTCCACCTCCAATTCTTCATTTTTTAAAATTTTTGAAACAATTTTTTAGGACAATATATTTGTGATGATAATTTTGCATCTAAAAATAAAAAAGAACAATATTGAAATGTTTATTCTATTTTTTAATAAATATTTCTATTAATTTTCATTGTTCTAACTATTATTTGAACAAGTTAGAGCTAATTTCTGTGCTACCATCTTTTTGATTGTGCAACAAATAAGTTTAACTTCACTGGAAAAAGTTGGAAAATTTTTCTTCATAATTTGAAAACTAAAACAAAAACTCCAGTTGAATTATGCATACTAAGCAAGTTTAGTTTAATTTGCAGAAAGTAGACTAGGCTAAATATTATAACACTTATTCCAACATTCAGTATAATTTGTAAGACTTTAAAACACTATTTTACGAGATTTTTTTCCATTTTTTAAGCGAATTTACCATTTTGAAATTATTTAATTAAAATCCCTAAAAAGCAAACTGACCGAAAACTTAAGTGAATAAATTATTTAATGTAAACAAACTTTTTTATCAACTTTCATAGAAATGTTTTTTTTCAAAAAAAATTCTAAAATAATTTCCTAAAAAATAACATTGAATGAACAGCACGCGGTAAGACAATGAAATGCAATAATTAAAAGAAAAGAAAAAAATTATCAGCGTAAATAATCATACGTATTCAGTAGATGTTACTGACCGAGATCTATAAAGTTCCGCAGCTCACTCTTTTGATTCAACGAATTATGCAATTTTTCTAACATAAAAAGTGCAGAGAAAATCCATTCTAAAAACTTCAACTTCGATTTTTTTTAAGGCGAGAAATTCATTTGCATACTTTTAATTTCATAGTAAGTAGACACTGAGGCGTGAATTTTAATTTGAATGTGTAATTTTTAAACGAGATGACTTTTCACGCCTCAATGTCTGCTTACTATGAAAAAATTCAATTACATACATTTTATGAAAAAAAAATTTATTGGAAAAATTTGATTTTTAAAATAACTCTGAGTTAATAATTCAATGTCTTCTGCTTTCTTTTTTCTAATAAAAGCTAAAGAGAAAATTGTCAACAAGCTATGCAAAGTAATATTACATTTGGAAAAATATCCTTGAAATGATGGATAATGTTGTTGAAGTATAATCAAATAGAATAAAATTATAACCCTGGAAATTTTCACCCTATCCACTTCCATTCTGAAATATGAAAAATGAAAAACATGAGAGGTAAGCGAAGGAAAGAAGTAATTTCATTGTAGTTCAAAGCAAATATATGGAAAAGAAAAATGATGGATGCATTAAAAATGAGGTAACCAATTATTTGCGTAACTGTAACTAATGTTTTTCTTTTCTTTTCTGAAGAGAGAGGTGAATAAACTGTTGTTGATAAATAATGTCTCCTATTGTTTAATCCCCTTCTTTATTTCACATTTAAATCAGTGCCTTTTTCAAAAGTGTCTAAAATTATGACATCTTGAAGCTATTTCACAAGATATGCGCTCATCCTTCTAATTTAGACAAACATGTAACCTAAGCTGATTTGAAGATGAAAATTACTCACGGTGTATTAATTTATTTGTTAAGATTCTTCTGAGTCTAAATTTTATTTAAGATGGAAAATTTGCAAGTCAATAATTCAATTAAGAAGCTTTGTTGCTTATTTCACATGTTGTTTTCAAATAATCTGGTAAAGGCATCTTTAAAATGATTAAAAGTTTGTGGAGAAAAGAGTCTTTAAAACTGAATTGATTTTTGTTGTTTTTTCAATATCTCAATTTTACTCTTTTCCTTTTTTGCTTGTTCATCGGGATCTTAAGAAGTTTAATGTCCTCAAATAATCTTTTTGGGACTTAGTTCTAACAATTATCAAGAGAAACGTAAGGCAAAATCATTTGCATGTAAAGAAACAACTGGTACCTTACTTGTCCAGAGAACCTTTAGCTAAGCAACTTCTAAACAATTCTCACTTTTTGACAATGTATCGTGTTGTTACCAAAAAATGAGATGATATGCAGCAAGCAATATTTAAATAAAGATAAATGATAAGCACTAGTAATGATCTGTGACTTTGGTAATGATAAGAAAAAATATTCTTTCTACCAAATGCAAAAAAATATTACAACTATTTGTTGCTATGCTAATCTAAACAAGCGATAATTAATTGCAAGTGAGAGTAATTGGAAATAATGACGTGAAATGAAAGTTATGTTGAAATGAGTGTAAAAGTAAAATGAATGCAAATGTTCAGATAAGCAAAACAACAGATAAGTTTTGAACGGAAAAGACGACGAATACTTGGCAACTCCTAACTTCTGACAAAACTTTAAAACATGAATTAGAAAGCGGTGAATAAAAGCCAATGAAATATTTCGAAATTAGACACAAATATTGCATCGACTTATTTTTACAATGTATTTTCAACATATGTTTTCATAAAGAGATCTGTTATTGAGAGTTGAAGAATAAAAGTTCGTATTTTGTTTATTTTTCTCGATCTGAAATGATGATTTTTGAAGACGTCATATTTTGCTTAAGGCACTTTTGCTAGAAATACTGAAAAAAGTGCATGCTTCCTAGTGCCAACAAGCACTTATTACTATTTTTCTAGCTTGAAAATAATTTAAAGGGAGTAAAAATGTGAGCTGACATGAAAGAAAAAGAAAATTGAACTGGACAAAATAATTTATAACAGGAAAAGAGGAGTAAAGAGGAGGAAGAAACGGATTTCATCAAGTAAACAGGGTGTTTTAAGTACAACAAACAATTATTCCTTCAAATTCAATCTATATTCTGTACAGTTCAAGAAGCTTTTTGAAATAAATCCAAAAGAGCTCCAAAAAAGAATCAAAATAATGAGATAATTGGCCAGCAGATTTGCATAGACTCAAAAAAAGAAACCATGTAATACTAATGACACTTTCTAACGTTGGTGTTATCACTGCTAGCTAATGTTAGGTTTAAACCATTTTTGAACTCAATAAGAAAATTGATATTTGATGTAAAATATGAACGATTCACTAACTTCAGGTGTATGAGTTCAACCTAATAGATCGTAATTTGTTGACTATAGGAATCAACGAATTCCCTGCTTGTTAATGTTGCAACCTTATTTGTCTGCATTTTTGATATTTCATTTTTGATATATCTCATCTACTCTGGACATGGGTATTTCCATAAAAATCGAAATACTTTGCAATCGACAAATTTTACTTTGTAATGAGTATTATGGGACAAGTTGGAATAAACAAGTTAACTTGCTGTTCAACTTTAGTCTTAACTGATCCAATAGCTTAAAATGCATATTCCATTTGTTCTTGGCATAATCGGAAGGCGATCAACAAATTTAACATAGTTAATCCTTGAGATGACTAAGCACTTTGTCCGTTTAAATTTCAAAAATATCTTTAGTACTTATGAGTTTTATGTATATGTGGTGGATAGAATTGCAAATAATTTGATCAGATTTTGGCATAATTGATATCATTTTAAAAATTTTCTTTTTTAGCTTAGAACAATAGTTCGAGTGGACAATGCCATCTCTTACATCACAACTGTCTTCCATTAAAGTTGCCATCATTGGATATTGCTTGTATGATAAGAAATAAAGTGAAAACGAAATGTGAGGAAAAAAAGACGAGCGTTGATAAGTAAACACGAACCAAAA